TACTTTATCCAGCTTGTCAGAGTCTTTCAGTTCAGGCAGAGGAATTCTACAAGAAGCACAGATTTTTATGATCTAAAAGCACTTTCCATGTTGTTAATCTAGACAAAGAAAGTGAAACCTTTGCATGCAACCCTATACTTCAAATACGAAACAAGAATTAGAAAAAAAAAAGAAAGACTATGTGGATTAACTGATGAGAAAAAAAGAGCCAGCTTTAAGAATTTCAGACAGGCAGTGGAACAAGATAAATAACTGGGTATGACCTGAAAAGATTAGTGGGTAACTGAGTAAAATTTTATCAAGGGAAATCTAGATTGACTTGAAAGGCAAAGACAGAGGGTTATATGCTAAGCTTTCCATCACCTCCCTTAGAAGTCTTATGGCTAAAGCTGTGTACAGCTGAAATGGCCAAAATGCTAAAAATGTCATGTGAAGGGCGATGCAGATTTGGCATGACAAGACTGGATTTAACAAGACTTCTCTACACATTGTTCCCTTGGTACCTGTTTTGGGGAGGAGCATTAGGGTCTTGTTTTTTACTTTTTGACCCTACACTATCTTTTTTAGGTTTTTTCTTCTTTGGCTTTCCTTCCTCATTTTCCCCTTCTTCATCTTCATCATCCAAAGGCACATCAAACTCTGGTTCTTTCAATAAGCCAAAGAAAACCTGCAAGTCAATAAAACACACACAAGACAAAACAGTAATTGCTGTTCTTACTGAAAACTAATTTTTTTAATGGAAACTTTTCAACATAATAGGCCAAGCAATACAGCCGCCCCTTTAAAACTGCCACGTTTAATATTACTGCATACATTACTGGTTAGCCCATAATAAAGGTAGTACATATGCTGCTGTTTTGCCCAGCAACTGACCTGGACAACTGTAAGTTCTCCCACCATCTCTTAGCACTTCCTTAAAGCAGAATCCCTACAGCTTACATAATTTATCTGTATAGTACTGTGGTACTACAGTGTCAGGATCTACACAAACAGCCCTTGCAGTAACAACTGGCAGTAAGTAAGAATTCCATCTGTTGTACAAAAGAGGAAGCCAAACAGTCAGGTGTCCATTCTAAAACAACAGAGTAATTCAAGAGTTAGTTTAAGTTTAGTTCAGTGGACTGAATACAAGGTTGTCTCTCAAAGGGGTTCAACAGTTTCTTCTACCAGACAGTGACACATCTTGATCTCTCTACTCCTGCCAACAACAGATATTTGTACAGTTCTCTTGCTTTGCTCTGTTCATGCTGTCCTTTAAGATCTCAAGTGACAACTGTCTGTCTATACTAAGGTATCTCCCTGAAAAACTAGGAAGAATTATTCAATTACAAAAGTGCAACATTCTTTGCCTCCTACCTTTGCTTTATTAGCTTCTCGTTTTGCCTCCCCAGCCAAGCTTCCAACCATAGCATCTATCTGTTGTTTACTGCGAGGCATTCCATCAAAGATATCAATGTAAAGATGTTCCTGAACAATGTTCCAGATCTGGTTGTTCTGCTTTTCCTGAAGATGCCTCTTCAAGAGTTGGTAAGAGTCACGGGAAATACGCAGCACAAACTTGCTTGTTCGGAAATCCAGCATGGTCTCATTACCTTTCATATGTTCTTTTTTGGTTAAGCTAGATAATACACGCAGGTCATCCTGGTAATAGCACTCCTGATCCCCATGAAATCTATTGAAACAATTTAAGATACGATAAAAGAGTTATTACAAAAACATTATCTCCTAAGTGCACACCTATTTACATTACTTTAACATGAAGCATATATGTAAGGACCTTTTGGAAGCTACTGACTACATACAGGATTATTTTTCTGCTGAAAAATACCCTGGGGAAGATACTGTAAACAGCAAGTCACTGGTGTAAGAGCATTCAACGGTTAAAAAACAAGATGGAAAGAACACAGAATGGAACCTCACAGAATTTCATACACATAGAGGGTTCTTGCCTGAAGTAAATAGTTACACTAACATGTTTATTTACAGAAATGAAACCCTAATTTGTGGTATCATAAAATACACGGCATTTTTTATTACACAAGACTACTTGGATGTATTTATATCTGATTCATTATATGAATAGGCACATTTCACAGTGTCTATGTTTCTCACTCTCCACTTGCATTATCTAATAGCTAACATATGTCTAGAGTTTTCCATTTTTACTCAAACCATGTTATAAAATAATTGCGGCAGGGAATGTTTTAACTATTTACAGCAACATTTTAACTATTTACAGGACCATTTTTGCTAACCACATTGGAGAGAGACAAAGTTATCCTTTTGGATTGAAATATTTTGTAATTGGGCTGAATCTAGAAAACAAAGAAAATTTAATTTTCTTCTCAAGTGATAAGGAAGTGAAACATAGTAAGAGCACAGAAAATTATGGATTAGCCATAAATTAATTCCTTTAATCTCATCTGAATTTCAGTATACATTCTATGACATCAGCAAATACTTATAGCATACGTTACTTTGGCATCTCAGTGCAATTTTCCAGTGCTAAAAAATGACCCCATTATCTTTCCCTAAAGAAGCATAATCTCTTCATTGATACTTTTGCAGTAAAGAGACCATCAGCTTACCCAAAAGATGGGTCAAAATCTGCCCATGGACAGTTCAAAAGCATGTAGCTTGAACATCCTTCTAATATAGGAGTTTGGAAAAGGATTCAAGAACAGTTACTGTAATCCATGGCACCATTACTTCAGATTCCAAATCTCTTCAACATCAAAGAAAAATAATACATACCTCTATATACGTATAAACCTATGCTACTATAGCTTACAGATTTAATCAAAGTAGCAGACACAAAACAATGCAAATGCAAAAATGAAAATAAATTACCTTTCAAAAAAAGACTTTGCTTCACTCTCATGTTGATTGTAGACCAATTCCAAGTACATGTGCACAAAGAGAGGATAAAACAGCTGAGACAATTCTGCTCGATGACAGTCCAGGGAACACTCAATGAAGTGTTTTAATCCACTGTAGTATTCCTCATACAGCGTCGGGTCCCCCTGTTGATTGTAGGCAGACAATACTGCACTCACATCTGGCTGATCTTCCACAACAACGCCTCCTCCAACTGCAAAAGCATTAGCATGTAACAAGAGCTTGTAAGACAGCCTGAAAGAGCTAGCAAATATACAGTGGCTAACAACTCCATTGGTAAAGTGAGGCACTCTGAGCACAACATGATACCAAGTCTCGTGCTTTTTCAGCACTGAGTCTAAGCAATACAAGTGAGAGGATGGTAGCACATTATAGTCCAGCAGTCAATTCTCCTAGCACCTTCAGCCATTTTTTGTGCCTTCCCAGCCAACAGTTACCTATAAGGTATTTAACATAGTGCCTAATTCAGCTAAGATTATAAGTGTAAAGGAAGAACCCACTAACATCACCAAAATAAGTTATCTTTACTGCTAAGGCTAGAAACTCTCAAATGAAGAGCAGAATCTTTCTAAGCCTGTAAGATATACCCACTATAATTATTTTGCTTCCAGTAAACAACATTATAGGGCAGTGACTTTTTGTCATCTGCTAATGGTCCAAGAGCTCTGTTCTACATAGCAGTCATTAAACATTTTCATTGCTTTGTCTTCTATATAAAAACAATTCTATCAGGTGATAACACGAACAAGCTGACTTTATACTATACATTCAGTGGAACTCAAGACATTCCTGAAATTCCATGACACTGTTCTGTAAAGCTGCCCCACAGAACACCTTGATTAAAAATACTTAAGACTTTAATTATCCAAAGGACATCTCAAGTATCCAGCAACTTGATCGAGAAATGTATGAAGCCTCCTCTACAAGTATCCTATGGCTCCTTCCTCAAAATGCACCCTGTACATCAGGCCTCCATTCTCATCCCTGCAGCCACATCTCGGACCATCACCTCAAACTACAGAGGAAACCTTCAGCCTCCTGTTACAATGTTAGTCAAGATGGAACACAAAGACAAGGGGAAGCACCTCTCACTTTGACAGTGCTCCCTGCAAGCGTCACAGAAACCCTACCTTTGGTCCCTTGCTCCGAGGAGGGGCACCCCCAGGAGATGCCGATCTCTTCTCAAGTTGTACGGGGGGAATGACACACCCGGGGCTCCCCCCAAAAGGCCAGGGTACATTCTCACCTCCCGCCCCAGGGAGGGCCACCCCAAGGGAGGCACGACCTGACACCATCCCTTGTGCCCGAGCATCACGGAGAGGCCCCACGCCTGCGAGAGGCACAAGGGCCCCCCAGCACCCACGGGTCCCGCCCGGCGCAGCGACCCCGCAGTCCCCGCGCGGGCCCCACCTTTCCCCGGCGGCACGGCGGCGACCGCCGCCACCCCGGGGCTGGAAGACGCGACAGTGGCGACACTGCCTCCTATCGCGATGGCGGCAGCGGCGGTGACCCGGCTGAGCAGCGCCTCGCCGCCGGCGGAGTCCCCATCGCCGCCCGGGGCTCCCAGAAGCCCGGCGCCGGCGGGGCTGAGGGCAGCGGCACCGAGGTCGTCGCCGAGCAGGCGGGCTTCGCGGCGCAGGATCTCCTCGGACTCGCGGAGGTTGCTGCGCCGCAGGAACTGCAGCACGGCCACGAGCGTCTGCCGGTCCAGCGCCGCCGGGGAAGCGGCCGGGCCCGGTGCCGCCTGCTTAGGGGGTGCCGCCTCCCCACCGTTCCCCGCCGCCTCCACCTCCACCGCCGCGGCCGGGGGAGCGGCGGGAGCGGCGGCGGCGGCGGC